TAAAAAAATTATATTTTCATAGGCTTAAACTATTAAGATTGCTGCGGAAAATCATAACTTCCTCTCATTAAGTCAAATTTGGGCGTTCTAAATATGTATGCTCTCGGTTTTACGACTAATACGACTTTCATTTAGATTGCTTAGGATAATAAGCCACCTATCTAAAACTCACTTTTTACGATACGTAGAGTTGTGTCGGTTTAATCATAAAACTTCAAAGAAACATAACTTCTTCATACGAAGTCGGATTTAGGCGTTCTATATATCTAAGGAAATCGTATTGACGTTTCCTACGTATCTATGACGATTATTTTGGCTCAAGAGTAATTATAATTTTATTATGTATTTTATAATAATTACAATCTATGGTTATAGTAAAATGGAGTGTTACAACTATTCCACAATACAACATTCCAAAATACATGGTCTGGAATACACTTTTTTTTAGTCTGGAACATATGTGTGTCAGATTCTGAACCCGATACCTTCCAACCATCACCTATTCCGGAATACAATATTCCGAAGTAAGTGGTCATTTTATAAAATTTATAAAATCTTGGTTATTTATATCAAATTGTTTATTTATGCACGATAGATTACTCAATTTCCCAAAAGGAATATGCATCAAGATGACACTTGCTAACTTAAAATAGAGTAAATTACAATTTTGGTTATGTGGCCATCATTATTTGGAGCTTTAGTTCAAATTTGGAAACATTATATATAATCCTAAATATTTATTGTTTCATAATCCATCACGGTTGTTCTTTTTTGCTTAGGTTGTCGGGTATGGGGGCTATTTTACGCGTGAGAACCTATGTGGAGGGGGTTTTTTACCGGTGACCACCGCCCCAAAATATAGCGATTGTCTTTTGAGTAAAGGCTTCCACAAGCCTTCATGGAAGGCTTCTCTCTATCTCTTTCTGAGTTCTTTCTCTTTCTCTTTCTTGTTCACTAGTGAATACTATTTCCACAACCTAGTGAATGGTTAGATGATTACGCAACTTGCTCTTCAATTGCTTTTCACGCATATTCATACCCCTTAGTCTTAACACTGTTAGAACCCATCCATTAACCACCAGTAAAATGACAATTTTACATATGTTTTGTCTTATTTTGATTTTTTAATTACATTATTTATAATATTAAGGCCATATAGGCCACCACCACCTCAGACCCCACTTAACCCAACCCACCACCACAAAACACACACATACACACACTTGTTGTCGGCCGGAAGCTTCGATCACAACCTTCAATCTCTAACCACATTCATACTAATTGAAAAGAATGTCAGATGTATGTCTGAAGAGATGAGATTGAAGGTAGCAAAGTCGAATGTTCAGCGATACATGTTGTTGCGTGGGGTTAATGTTAAGGTGGAGGATACAATCACATCCAACGTTGGATGGCGTTAGAGCTAACGGCAGGATGGAGGCAGAGAAAGTAGCGTGAGTTCGGTGGAAGATGGGGTTGTTAGATTTAGGGTTATATTTACAATTTTCAGAAATGGTCTTTGGAGTTTATAAGTTTTATTAATTTTGGTTCGAGGGTACAGAGGTAATTTTATATTGGACTTAACATAAAATTCTAATCGTGTTTAGACAAATTGACCAACCTTGATGGATTTTGAAAACAAGAAGACTACTAATATCAAAACTTCAAAACATCGACTAAATCTAAAAGCTAGTGCCAAGCACACGTACAACAACCGCAATTTACTCTTAAGCAATAATGTACATATTAGAGTTAACTTCATGTATACTTATTATTCACAAAAAAAAACCTTCTAATCCAACAAAATCAAATGCTGTCCTCTGACATTGAGGTCGAGGGTTCAAATTCTATTTGTAACATAAATAGAATTAAATAGTTTAGAAGTAAATTACATTTTTCGTACAAAAAAATAATAATATTTAAGAACTTATTACTTTTGTCACATCCTTTCTCCGTTAAAAAGTGATAAGTATCTTTTGGTTGCCTCCATTCCTAAGCTATATAACCCTTTTTTTCCTATTCTCTTCCCTCATTTCATTTAACATATGGAAAATGCTCTTCTATATCTTCCTTTGTTTCCTAAATCATTTTTAATAAAATAATTAAAAACTAAAAACTAAATAAAAATACAAGAAAATAACACAAGGATACTAATTAATAAATCATATCTTTATTTTGAATAACTAACCCTTATTGGACTATATGCCTATAAAATGAACTTCTATAACAATTACCTATATAAATATATAAACTTCCCCTCTCAACCCTTTCGATTGGGAAATCAAATGCACGAAGTTGATTTTCAAAGTAAAAGCTAAAGTACACCTAATAATGGTATAAGGAATCCCCGATTGCCACTATCGCCCCGATCCTTCTTCTTGAGCTCTCAACCTTTCATATCCAGACCTTCGAAAATATTATAAGGAAACAACCTCATTAAACTAGAGGGTTTGCAGATGCCAAAGACGCTCAAGAAAAACAACTCGAAGGAAGATGGTTCCCTTAAAACCCGAGGAGCTCGAATCCATGTTCGCAGCTGGAATGAAGTTCTCAGAGCTCTACCCGAGATTAATGCAACAACACTGTCCACACTAACCTTTATGTGATAAAAAACTTTTTGTCATACACTTCAGCCAATTGTTAACCTTTTTCAAAGTTTTTTTTTTATTTATTTTTTTATTTTTTAGTTAATGAATTCATCTCTCATATCTTTTAAATATTTTATTAAGTACCATTATGTAATTTATCATTTTTAAACACATTTCGTATATCAGCAAGAAAACATTATTTCATATAAATAGTAATAAAAAATAAAAAAACAACAAAACATCATGTGGCTATTATATTTGATATTATTTTACTTTGAAAGTTTTGGCAATTTCTTTTAAATGATATATTATTCATTTTTATTTGTTTATTTATATATATATAAATGGACTAATAAAAATAATAAAGATTTAATATATAACTATAATTACATATAAAAAAATAAAATGTTAGTAAATGTAGAGACCAAAATTGACAAAATCTATATAAAAAAGTTATAAAAGGTTTTAAAAAGCTCTCTAATCTAAAGATATACAGTAATTTAAAAGATTATTTATCAAAATAAGAAAATTACAATAAACTACCATTGAAGATGTATAACGAATGTAAAACCTAAAAAATTATGCAAAAGTGTTGCATTTTTTTATACAATGTAAGTCAAGAAAACGTATTTAATTTTAGATAAATATGGCCACTGAAAGTGATAAGGATGGTGTTAGGTGAGTAAGGCCTAAATTTGACTCAACATGATTATCCCAAATCTCAATCAATCATTTTCTTCGTACCCATTTTAATATTATTAACTAAAATCTTATTATATTATTTTATTGATATTGATATTTCATATTTGCTAACAGGACTGATAAACAATTAAGAAGACTGGATATAGTAAAAGCATAAAACTAACGGATTGGGTCATAGACAAAACAGGCCCAATGTTTGCTTAAAAATGCCTTACTGATTTGGGTCACGTTGTCACGAAACACTTGTTCTCAAGGTTTTTAAGTTATGACCGAAAACTGTTTGATAGCAAGAATAGGATATTTTATAAAAGTATATTTAAAAGGTTTAAAATACACTTTGGACAACTTTTAACTCTTTCAGCCAATTTTGATTTTAACTAAAAAATATTATTTTTCATGTTTGACCATTGTAGTTAAACATAATACAAATCAATTGCGATGAAAGTCTAATGGTTGAGAAGTGAAATTTCACACAGGAGGTCTAGGGTTGAAACTCTGACACATCCAACATATTGATAGTGTTTCATGATTGACTTCACATGTGGGTTGCTTAGATGGTATAGTTTACCATTTTTAAAACATAGTACAAATCAACATATCATAAATATTTTAGTATAAATTAAGATATCTAAATAATGTTGATTACACAAAATCCTGTAGGTCTAATTTCAAGTTATGATGGGAATATTAACCCGTTTACTTTACAATATGTCGATTTGGGTTAAGAAAAGAAATTTCAAGAAGGCTTTTGGCTTGAATTAGGCACTTTTGATATGACCAGATTGTGGTTGTTTAACAACCTATGAGTTAAATGAGCCCAATGGCTCTAAATTATGCTTAATCTATCTTTCTTTGGTTGTTTGTAGCTACTAAGGGAAAGAATGATAATCAAATGCCACTTGTAGATTCAAGGGATCGAAATTTAGTGATGCCAAATAATTGGGAACACAATGGTCTCCTATTCCAATTCATTAACTTCATTCTCCTTGTGTGTGGTTGGACACTTATTACCCTGCCACTATCCAACATAAATTGGAATAGGATAAGAACAAAGAGTCTTGGATAGATTATGGCTTTCCATCCTTTTTTAAATGCATCACTTGAAAAGAAACAAGATTTATATGTAAATTCCTCAAAGCACACACCAAAGAAACTAACAATCTACTCACTTTCACCCTTATTTATTTAACGTGTTCACTACAATCCATAGTTCCATACATAGCAAGAGTTAGAACCACTAAACATGATCCATGAGAAGTCCAACACTCTCGTGGAAGAATACATACATAACTAATTTTTTTTATCATATTCCAACATACAAAACAAGTCTATATACACAAGTTAAACCATTTAAACTAATATATGTTCAACCAAACATGCATAAATATCTTTATAGCAAATGATCACTGCAAATGTCAAAAAAAAAGGAGCTACACTTGAGACTCTTCATGTCAAATCTTAGTATATCCAAAGTATAGAACTGATAAAGATTATCATAAAATAAAATCAGCAAAATCAAATTTGAGAGAACATCAACATAGTTTATACTTCTAACAGAACTAGCATGGGCATCAAATATCCAGAATTGAAAAATAACCATCTGACTTTACAAGTCGAAGTGTAGCTTTGTTGTTCAACAAATGGATCGATGAGAAACTTGTAACACCCACAGTACCATGTGCATATTCATTAACAAATCAACATGCATTTGGACTAGAGACCAAAGACCTGAAGAAATATTCATGCTATACACGATGACATAAAAAATGACACACAATTTTAACAAACAGTAACAAACAAATGGAAGTAGATTATTATGCCAGAGCTCGAACTCATAATTTATTAATAGAAACAAGAAATGTAAAGAAGTTTAGTCTATTGATAGAATGCTGCTCACTTTTTCGTCATCTGGGTCATGGATTGACGGCGACAACTCTTCTCCGTTCACTTTTTCTTCTTCTTCTTCAAATTTAATCTCTTGTTCTATTTCTATTTCCTCGTACTTGTATTCTTCAGAATCCGATGCGGTTGGAGATTGGACATCGATTGGCGCGGCTGTTGCAGGAAGTGCCTGGGAGGAAGGCATATTCGATCGATGAGGTTGAAAGATTGTGACTAAACTGTGGATGGAATCAGTACTGTACAGTTGTACGTGGAGAAGAGGGTTTGAGGGTCATATGAAAAACATAAAATATGATTTTTTTTTTTTTTTAATATTATTATTATTTTTGTTGCTGTTGTCGTTGTTGATAAAAGAGGTTGGCAAATCTCTTAAAATTTTATTAATACAATTGTAGGCTTAAGACTTTTCATCTATGGAAGAAAAAAAGAAGTCTACAAATATCATAGATGTGGCTGATTTAGCCTTTCTTGCTAAATAGTGGTGGCCTCTTAAATGTGCTTATGATTCTTTTTTGTTCTCATGCATCAAGTCTATTCATGGAATTAAATTAGTGGACGGGAAACCATTAGCTACAAGATCCTTTAAAGGTGTTTGGTTCCTACTGGTAGAATCTTAAGTCATCATTTCTCTCCACCCATGTCTTCCGCTTGTAAAAGCTAACACAATTTCTGGAACAAAGTAGGGGACATCATCAAAGAGTGGTTGGGTCTCTTTGCTTGTTTAATATTATAAGCTTACTCCAGCTTATATATATATATATATATATATATATATATATATATATATATATATATATATATATATATATATATATATATATATATATATATATATATATCGAGTTATGAATATGCAGAGCAACACAAAACACATTGTAAACCAATTGGTTTTTGAGTGATATTTCCAATTATAAATCAAAGAGATATTTTGATATATTTATCTGTGTTTTTTACAATCTCAATACTAGAATTGGTATCAGAGCTCAAGAACAGGGGCTTGAATTCATACCTGGTGATCAAGAAGGACACCAGTAAAATAGATGTCAGACAAAGAAGGAAAAGGTGGTGATGCTGGTCCGGCTCCGGTGAAACTCAAGGAGGTCGGAACAACCACTGTGGCTTGCCCGATGTTGAATTCCACAAATTACACCGTATGGTCCCTGCGTATGAAAGTCGTACTCAGAATTCATAAAGCCTGGACCATAATCGATCCAGGAGAAGAGAAAAATGATGAAAAGAATAACCTGGCAATGGGGCTATTGTATCAGGCAATCCCCGAAGCCCTAATCATGCAAATAGGAGATGTCGATGAATCAAAAACCCTGTGGGAATCGATTAAAGCTCGATACGTCGGAGCTGATAGGGTAAAGGAGGCGAGACTGCAAACATTAAACACCGATTTCGATCGGTTGAGAATGATCGAGACAGAGTCAATTGACTCGTTCGCCGGAAAACTCTCCGGTTTGGCTTCGAAATCTGCCTCACTTGGTGAAACAATTGACGAGTCGAAGCTTGTGAAGAAGCTTCTGAAGGTTGTTCCCAGGCGATTCATCCATCTGGTGGCATCCCTCGAGCAGGTGCTCGATCTGAAATCTGTTGGCTTCGAGGACGTAGTCGGACGTCTGAAAGCGTACGAGGAGAGAATAAGGGAGGCAGATGACAGCGGAGAAGGAGGCGCGAAGGTGTTGTTTGCCTCGAGATCGAGTGGTAGCTCGAACAGCGGCGGTGGCTGTGGCTCTGCAGGTGGATTGACAGAGTCGAAGGGGAAATGGGCGAAATCGGGTGAAGGTGGGGGGGTTAATCGGAACAGATCCGAGTCGGGTGGAGGATCCGGGTCAGCAGGGCCCAGTGGGTCAGGCCCAGTTCGGCCCAGAACCATAATAAGCCCAAAAACAAGCCCAATTCTAATTCGGACTCAAACCGAAACCCGAAAAAAGATCTGTCGAAGATTATATGCTACAGATGTGATAAGTCGGGCCATTACGCATCCAAATGTCCGGACAGAACCCAAAAATTCCAAGAAAGTAATTTTACTGAACACGACGATGCCGGTGAAACAGTATTTTTACACGAGACCGTGTTTTTGAACGAAGAGAAAGTGATACCGTCTCGATACAACTCACAAGAAAACGATGTGTGGTATTTGGACAACGGGGCGAGTAATCACATGACGGGAAATCATTCATTTTTCTCCGAACTCGACGAAGGAATAACCGGAAAGGTCAAATTCGGTGATAATTCGTGTGTCGAAATAAAAGGGAAAGGCTAAATTGTTTTCCAAGGAAAATCGGGACAACAACGATTGATAACGGAGATTTATTTCATTCCGGATTTGAAAAATAATATTTTCAGTCTCGGACAAGCAACCGAAGCCGGGTGCGATATTCGGATGAAAGACAACTATTTGACAATGCATGATGCCGACAACTGCTTGTTAATGAAGGTACAAAGAACTCCAAACCGCCTTTATAAAATACAGTTGCCCATTGAAGTACCTATTTGCCTTCATACAAGACTGAGTGAAGACACGTGGCACTGGCATTCAAGACTTGGACACATCAATTTCAAGTCAATGAAAAAGATGTCCAAGAAAGGTCTAGTCAAAGGGTTACCCCATTTTGACAGTGAAAATCAATTGTGTGAATCTTGTTTGGTGGGCAAGCAAACAAGAAAGTCATTTCCATTAATGACGACGTACAAAGCAACACGGCCATTGGAGCTAGTTCACGGTGATTTATGTGGTCCGATAACACCGTCAACGAAGGGTCAAAATCGGTACATTTTCACACTAATTGACGATTTTTCACGTTATATGTGGATTTTTCTCTTAAAAGAGAAAAATGATGCGTTTTTACACTTCAAAAAATTTAAAGCTTTGGCGGAGAATGAGCTCGGAAAGTCTTTAAAGATGTTTCAAAGTGATCGAGGAGGTTAGTTTACTTCGCTCGAGTTTAATTCCTTTTGTGATATGAATGGAATCAAACGCCATCTTACCGCCCCATATTCACCACAACAAAACGGTATTGTGGAACGAAGAAACAGAACACTTATGGACATGACACGAAGTATCATGAAGGCGATGCATGTTCCAAACTATCTATGGGGAGAAGCGGTAAAACATTCCACAAACCTGATCAACCGTGTTTACACAAGAGTACTTGGTGATACAACTCCGTACGAGAAGTTGTATAAAAGAAAACCTAATTTGGAGAACGTACGCATCTTTGGGTGTTTAGCGTATGCAAAAGTTGAACCGGTAAACGTGAAAAAATTGGATGCAAGATCAAGACCATTGGTTCATCTTGGTTCTGAACCGGGTACAAAAGCCTATCGGTTATTTAACCCGGTTACACAAAAAATAATCGTAAGTCGAGACGTTATTTTTAATGAAACCAAAGGATGGAATTGGGTTAACGAAGCTACACCTGACAATGAAGAACCAGGATCATTCATAGTACCATGGGATTTACCGGAAGATGAGGCAAACAACAACCAAGGAAACGATGTAAACAACGAACCAAACGAATCGGATCACGAGATTGAAGACGGAGTGGAGGTACAAGAAAATGAGCAACCAAGTCCGATCAACAACAACGTGAACAATGTTCAAAACCAAAGGCCCACAAGACAAAAGGTGCTTCCAATTCGATTACGAGATTATGTACTTTATGTTGATGAAATTGAAGAACTTCTCCTAGCAACCAATGACGAGCCGGTATCGGTTGAAGAGGCGAAGAAAGAACCAGAGTGGGTCAAAGCCATGAATACAGAAATCAATTCGATCAACAAGAACAGTACTTGGTCTCTCGTAAACAAACCTATGGGGGTGAAGCCCATTGGACTCAAATGGGTGTTCAAGCTGAAGAAAAATGCAGATGGCACCATAAACAAACACAAGGCGAGGTTGGTTGCTAAAGGGTACGTACAACAACCTGGTATTGACTTTCAAGAAGTATTTGCTCCGGTAGCTCGCATCGAAACCATACGGTTTCTCATTGCCTTAGCCGCTACCAATGGATGGGAGCTTCACCACTTGGATGTCAAGACGGCTTTCTTACATGGAGAGTTGAGAGAAACCGTCTTTGTGTATCAACCGGAAGGCTACATAAGGAAAGGCGACGAGCACAAGGTGTACCGTCTTTCAAAAGCACTATATGGTCTTAGACAAGCACCGAGAGCATGGAATACAAAACTTGATGGGATTTTGAAAGGAATGAAATTTCACAAGTGCATGAAAGAACCATCGGTGTACCGGAAGAACGAAGGATCCAACTTGCTAATTTTAGCAATCTATGTTGATGATTTGTTTGTCACAGGTACAAATTTGAGCATGATCAAAAGGTTCAAATTTGAAATGTCCAAGAACTTCGAGATGTCTGATCTTGGAAGATTAACTTACTACCTGGGCATTGAAGTCAAACAGGATGAATCGGGGATTACAATAAACCAAAAAGCGTATGCACAACGCATTCTGAAGGAAGCCGGTTTACATGATTGCAATCCTACCCACATTCCCATGGATCCAGGAACCAAAATGTCGAAGGCCGAAGATGAACCCGAAATCGACCCGACACAATACCGAAACTTGGTAGGATGCCTTAGATATCTCTTGCAGACAAGACCCGATATGGCATATGCGGTTGGAGTTGTTAGTCGATACATGCAAGATCCAAGAGAATCACATGGTGTTGCAATCAAACACATCCTAAGGTATTTACGAGGAACAACGGGATACGGAATCAAGTACGAGAGGATGGGACAAAATCGAATAATTGGTTACAGTGATAGTAGTCATAATGTTGATCCAGATGACGGAAGAAGCACAACCGGTCACATTTTCTACTATGGGTTGTCTCCAATAACATGGTGTTCTCAAAAGCAAGATACTGTTGCTTTATCATCTTGCGAGGCGGAGTTCATGGCTGCAACTGCGACTGCATGTCAAGCAATATGGCTTCAAGATTTGCTAGGCGAAATCATGAACAAAGCACAAGAGAAGGTGGTCCTAAGAGTTGATAACAAGTCAGCTATCGAACTCACGAAGAATCCTGTTTTTCACGGAAGAAGCAAACACATTCACACGAGGTTTCACTTCATTCGTAAGTGTGTTGAAAAGGAACAAGTGGAGGTAAAGTACATTCCAGGTGAAGAACAAAAGGCAGACATTCTCAAAACCATTGGCTC